CCCGTCTCACTCAGTGGCCAACGGGTTCCTCTGGAGGGCCAACAACAGGGCATAGAGGCCGGGGCCTTCATAAGAACATCAGACGAGCCCTGCTGGATCAGACCAGTGAGGGTCCATCTAGTCCAGCATCCTGTCTCACACAATAGCCAACCAGTTCCTCTGGAGGTCCAACAACAGGGCATAGAGTCTGAGGCCTTCCCCTGGTAAGAACATCAGAAGAGCCCTGCTGGATCAGACCAGTGGTCCATCCAGTCCAGCATGCTGTCTCAGTGACGTGACACCGGCAGATCGGGCCCCGGGGGAAGCCCCACCCCAACGTGCGCGTGACCCGGAAGTGACGTGACGCCGCCAGGCACGCTGGGGGCGGGGCCACGACCATCTGAGGGAAAACCATAGTTGGGGTGGGGCTCCCCCTGGGGCCCGATCCACCACAGGCGGGGAACGGGCCTCTGGGTTGGGGGTTTCCCCGCCCCCCGGGGGGACTTGGCAAGCCTACTCCTGGCTCTGCGAATCAGAGATTTCTTTCCTCTGAATATAGAGGTTCCTTGTAGTCACCATAGCTGGTAGGCACTGATAGGCCTCTCCTCCACAGATCTGTCTAATCCCCCTTTTAAAGGCTTCTACAGCTGTGGCCATCAGTACGTCCTCAGGCAGCAAATTCCACATTTTAATCACTCTCTGTGTAAGGTAGTATTTCCTTTTGTCCTTCCTGAACCTACTGCCCATCCGCTTCGTGGGATGTCCTCGAGTTCTAGTATTCTGAGAGAGGGAGGAAAAGTTCTCTTCACCAACTCTCTCCACCCTCTATCACGCCCCTTAGGGGTTGCGGTGGCTCAGAGGCTAAGACACTGAACTGCAGACTGGAAGGTCTGTAGTTCGGCGGTTCGAGACCCAAGTGCCGCATGACGGAGTGAGCTCCCGTCTGTGGCCCCAGCTCCTGCCAACCTAGCAGTTTGAAAGCAAGACATTGCAAGTAGATAAATAGGTACCACTTCGGTGGGAAGGGAACAGCATTCCATGCGCCTTGGTGTTTAGTCATGCTGGCCACATGACCACGGAAATGTCTTCGGACAGCGCTGGCTCTTCGGCTTGGAAACGGAGATGAGCACCACATCTCTAGAGTTGGATTCGACTGGCTTTCGAGGAAGGGAAACCTTGACCAGTTTGGTGTAGTGGTTAAGTGCACAGACTCTAATCTGGGAGAACCGGGGTTTGATCCCCCACTCCTCCACTTGCACCTGGCTGGACAACCTTGGGCAAGCCGTAGTTCTGATAAGAGCTGTTCTTGAAAAAAGAGCAGTTTCTCAGAGCTCTCTCAGCCCCACCAGCCTCCCAGGGTGTCTGTTGTGGGGAGGGGAAGGGAAAGGAGTTTGTAAGCCGCTCTGAGACACCTTTGGGTAGTGAAGGGCGGGGTAGAAATCCAATCTCTTATCTTCTTCTTCTTCTTCTAGGGTGGCCCAGAGGAGGAACCTCCGAGAGCCACCGTTCTGACAATCACGTGAGCACAACATCCATTCTTAAAGCAACGTGAGCTGCCAGTAAGTGTTCCACCCCACCATCTGGGGGTCAAGCCCCGCCCCATCTCAGGTGCTAGGGTCCTGGGATGCTTGATACCGACCGCGTGAGCCCCTCTTCTCAAAGCATGCCCAGTAATTTGGAACCTGCATTTCATTCATTCTCTCCATCCAGCGGCTTGAGGCCGACCCCCAGCGGCAGAGAAGTTCTTACCCAAACAAGGTTCTCAGCTTCCAGTTGGCATTGAGCAAGACGTAGCCATTCGTGACGGTAAGATTCACACCCAGCCCCTTGGAGAAGCTGATGGCGGAGTCGCCCAGCTGAAGGTCGTTGATCTGGATCCTGAAAAGAAGCACCGGGAGACGCCCGAAGATCAACCCACCGTTGAATGCCTCCTCTGATCCCAACCAAACAGCTTGCTAAAGGGAGGGCCCCGAGGGGCTGACAGGTGGACTCAGGGTGGGCCCACTTAACAGAAAAGACCAGCATGAGGAGGAGGAGGAGGAGGAGTAAAAGGAGGAGGAGGAGGAGGAAGAAGAAAAAGGGAAGGAGGAAGAAGAAGAAGAGGAGGAGGAGGAAGAAGAGGAGGAAGAGGAGGAGGAGGAAGAAAAAGGGAAGGAGGAAGAAGAGGAAGAGGAGGAGGAAGAGTAAGAAGAAGAAGAGGAGGAGGAAGAGGAAGGAGGAGGAGGAGGAAGAGGAGGAAGAGGAAGAAGAGGAGGATAAGAAGGGAAGGAGGAAGAAGAGGAAGAGGAGGAGGAGGAAGAGTAAGAAGAAGAGGAGGAGGAAGAAGAGGAATAGGAAGGAGGAGGAAGAAGAGGATGAGGAAGAAGAGGAAGAAGAGGAGGAGGAGGAAGAAAAAGGGGAGGAGGAAGAGGAAGAGGAGAAGAAGAGGAGGAGGAGGAAGAAGAAGAAGAAGAGGAGGAGGAGGAGGAGGAAGAAGAAGAGGAGGAGGAGGAGATTGGATTTATACCCCGCCCTTCACTTTCTCAGTCCACCAAAGCAGCCATTTTCTCCAGGAGAGCTGATCTCCGTCAGCTGGGGATCAGTTGCAAAAGCGGGAGATCTCCAGACCCCACCTGGAGGCTGGCAACCCTAGCTACACCTAGGATTATCAACTGCCGGAAGGGGGGGAACCCCTCTGTGGACTCTCCACTGCCCAAACCCCACCCTCCCCCTGGCCCCACCCCCAAAATCTCCAGGAATGTCACAATCCAGACCTGCCACCCCTACGCGGCGATCGCAGTTCGCAACATAACGAACAGAGACAGGCAACGGAGTGACACTGAGACCTGGATTCCTCCTAAGAGCTAAGCTGATGGACGTTTGACCAAATGGCTAGTGTGGACTGCCCCCCCCCCCCCCACAGCTCATGCAAATTCCATATTCCCAACAGGCGTTGGTAGCACTAAGTCCACCTTTGACCTCTTGTTTTGGGAGGGGCCGTGGCTCAGTGGAAGAGCCTCTGCTTGGCATGCAGAAGGTCCCAGGTTCAATCTCCGGCATCTCCAGTTGAAAGGTCCTCTGCCTGAGACCCTGGAGAGCTATAAAGAGGGGTCGTGGCTCAGTGGTAGAGCCTCTGCTTGGCACGCAGAAGGTCCCAGGTTCAATCTCCGGCATCTCCAGTTGAAAGGTCCTCTGCCTGAGACCCTGGAGAGCTATAAAGAGGGGTCGTGGCTCAGTGGTAGAGCCTCTGCTTGGCACGCAGAAGGTCCCAGGTTCAATCTCCGGCATCTCCAGTTGAAAGGTCCTCTGCCTGAGACCCTGGAGAGCTATAAAGAGGGGTCGTGGCTCAGTGGTAGAGCCTCTGCTTGGCACGCAGAAGGTCCCAGGTTCAATCTCCGGCATCTCCAGTTGAAAGGTCCTCTGCCTGAGACCCTGGAGAGCTATAAAGAGGGGTCGTGGCTCAGTGGTAGAGCCTCTGCTTGGCACGCAGAAGGTCCCAGGTTCAATCTCCGGCATCTCCAGTTGAAAGGTCCTCTGCCTGAGACCCTGGAGAGCTATAAAGAGGGGTCGTGGCTCAGTGGTAGAGCCTCTGCTTGGCACGCAGAAGGTCCCAGGTTCAATCTCCGGCATCTCCAGTTGAAAGGTCCTCTGCCTGAGACCCTGGAGAGCTATAAAGAGGGGTCGTGGCTCAGTGGTAGAGCCTCTGCTTGGCACGCAGAAGGTCCCAGGTTCAATCTCCGGCATCTCCAGTTGAAAGGTCCTCTGCCTGAGACCCTGGAGAGCTATAAAGAGGGGTCGTGGCTCAGTGGTAGAGCCTCTGCTTGGCACGCAGAAGGTCCCAGGTTCAATCTCCGGCATCTCCAGTTGAAAGGTCCTCTGCCTGAGACCCTGGAGAGCCGCTGCCAGTCTGAGTAGACAATACTGCCCGAGACAGACTGATGGTTTGATTCAGTACAAGGCAGCTCCATGTGTTTGCCTGGAAGAGGCAGAGTTGAAGGAGCTGTTCCACCCGAAATGAGGGAGAGGATGTGGAGGAATGGGTGGGCGTCGTCCCACGAGAAAAGAGCTAGTATGGTGTAGTGGTTAGGAGTGCGGACTCTAATCTGGGAGACCGGGTTTGATTCCCCCACTCCTCCCCCACATGCAGCCAGCTGGGTGGCCTTGGGTCAGTCACAAGTTCTTTCAGAGCTGTTCTCTCAAGGGCAGTCCTCGAAAAAGCTCTCTCAGCCTCATCGAAGTCACAGGGTGTCTGTGGTGGGGAGGGGAAGGGAAAGGATAATTGCAAGTCGCTCTGAAACTCCTTCAGGACAGGGTGGAAATTGAATTTCCTCTTCTCCTTCAACAGTGAAACCCGCAGAATGAATGTATTTATTTATTTATTTATTTATTTAATTGTATTTATACCCCGCCCTCCCCGCGAACGGGCTCAGGGCGGCTTACAGACACACCTTGCAGGGGTGGTAGGCATGCTCTCACACACACTTACCTTGTTACAGAGAACTGAACGTCCCCCAAAAGTGGCACGTCGTGGGACCCATAAATATCTGGGATGGGATTCTTCTTCAGCATGGACGTCACCATTCCCAACCCAAACTGATGACCTGTAAAGAGGGAACGAGGGAAGAAATTAAATGGGGAGGGACCCAGAGGGGAGCAGGCCCTGGGACCCGCTTCCCCTGATGTGCAAGAGACAGAGAGGTCGCTCTTCCCTCCCCAAACCCACCCTCATTCATCCATTCCTCTCTTGCCAGGGAGGGGCCGTGGCTCAGTGGTAGAGCCTCTGCTTGGCATGCAGAAGGTCCCAGGTTCAATCCCCGGCATCTCCAGTTAAAAGGACCAGGCAGGAGGTGATGGGAAAGACCTCAGCCTGAGACCCTGGAGAGCTGTCAAGAGGGGCCGTGGCTCAGTGGAAGAGCATCTGCATGGCATGCAGGAGGTCCCAGGTTCAATCCCCGACATCTCCAGTTAAAAAGGACCAGGCAGGAGGTGATGGGAAAGACCTTGGCCTGAGACCCTGGAGAGCTGCAGAGAGGGGCTGTGGCTCAGTGGCAGAGCCTCTGCTTGGCGTGCAGAAGGCCCCAGGTTCAATCCCTGGCATCTCCAGTTAAAAGGACCAGGCAGGAGGGGATGGGAAAGGCCTCAGCCTGAGACCCTGGAGAGCTGTCAAGAGGGGCTGTGGCTCAGCCTCTGTGGCAGAGCCTCTGCTTGGCATTCAGAAGGCCCCAGGTTCGATCCCCGGCATCTCCAGCTAAAAGGACCAGGCAGGAGGTGATGGAAAGATCTCCGACTGAGACCCTGGAGAGTATCTGCCAGTCTGAGTAGACGATACCAACTGTGATAGACCAGGGGTCTGATTCCCTGTCCATGGAAGAGCCTCTGCTTCGCATGCAGAAGGTTGCAGGTTCAATCTCTGCCATTTCCAGTTAAAAAGAACCAGGCCTTCTCTGTCTGAGACCCTGGAGAGCAGCTGCCGGTCTGAGTAGACAACACTGGCCTTGATGGACCAAGGGCCTGGTTCAGTAGAAGTCACCTTCAGAATTTGGTTCAGCTCAGCCACAAAGATCGGACCAAAAGAAACATACCGTATTCTAGTCCCTTCTGGTTCACTTGAGCTTTCAGGCCCGCGGGAACTCCTCCGACCTGTACCCAGGAAGCCAGGAGAGGGAGGGTAAGGAGCCAGTACATCTTCTGTTCTTGGGGTCACCTGGGAAAGGGAACCAGGAAGTAATTAGGACCACCCCAAAAGAAGAAGAAGAAGGAGATTGTATTTATACCTGTTGAAGAGCAGCGGACTCTCATCTGGGAGAACCGGGTTTGATTCCCCCACTCCTCCACATGCAGCCAGCAGGGTGACCTTGGGTCAGTCACGAGTTCTCTCAGAGCTGTTCTCTCAAGGGCAGTCCTCGAGAGAGCTCTCTCAGCCCCGCCTCCCTCACGGGGTGTCTGTTGCGGGAAAGGGGAGGGGAAAGGAGATTGTCAACTGCTCTGAGACTCCTTCGGGTAGTGAAGGGTGGGGTATAAATCTAGTCTCTTCTTCGTCTTCCATTAGCACCTTTTTTTTCCCTATTGAGAGTCAAGGCTAGAGATGAGCAGAGGTGGTTTGCCATTGCCTGCCTTCACAGTTCGGTGTCGTGGTTAAGTGCGCGGACCCTAATCTGGGAGAACCGGGTTTGATTCCCCACTCCGCCACTTGCACCTGGCTGGATGACCTTGGGCAAGCCGTAGTTCTGACAAGAGCTGTCCTTGAAAAAGAGCCATTTCTGTCAGCCCCGCCTACCTTACAGGGTGTCTGTAGTGGGGAGGGGAAGGGAAAGGAGTTTGTAAGCTGCTCTGAGACTCTGAGTGAAGGGCGGGGTATAAATCCATTCTTCTTCTTCTTCTTCTTCTTCTTCTTCTTCTTCTTCTTCTTCTTCTTCTTCTTCTTCTTCTTCTTCTTCTTCTTCTTCTTCTTCTTCTTCTTCTTCGCAAACCCTGGGCTTCTTTGTGTCAGCTATGCTGCCATGGGGGTTGGGGAGTTCATTCTGTGTCTTGTTAATGGCTATTGCATTCCTATCCCTGCTATTATGCCTTTGCTGAAATGCTTCTCTCTACAGATGTGCAGGAGGAGGAAGCGTTGTCTGGAGAGCTCCTATGTACCGCGAGAGACTCCGAGTTCTCAGCTTTAGCCACCTAACGGTTGCCTGACTTAGTCCGCGCGCGGGAGGGTCCCTAATTGGCCAATGCCATGGGGGGGGTGCATACGAATACCCTATATCCTATTATACTCTAGTGGCTGTGGCCATTCTTAACAGTGCCTGTGTTACTGCATCTATAGCTTTGCAATAAAAGTATAACCGTTCCTGTTACTTCATTGTTAGCTGTGGGTTCTGACACCTTGGAGGTCTCCCACCCAAATACTGACCAGGGCCGACCCTGCTTAGCTTCTGAGATCTGATGAGATCAGGCTACCTTGGATCCTCCAGGCAAGGGCAGAACCCACCCTAGACGACAACAACAAAAAGAAGATCCTCACAACAGACAATGAGGTGTAGTGATTGGACTAGGATCTGGGAGACCCCGCCCTGTTTCACCAGCACCCCTAAACCGACTGCCTCTTAGGGTTGCCAGCCTCCAGGTATCGGCTGGATATTAGGACCGACCATCCCTGGGTTGCAACCCACGTCCTCTTCCTCCTTGTGTCACTTCAGGTTGCCAACCTCCAGGTGGGGCCTGGGGAATCTCCCGCTTTCACAACTGATCCCCAGCTGACAGAGATCAGCTCCCCTGGAGGAAATGGCTGCTTCGAAGGGCGGAGTCTGTGGCATTGGACCCTGCCGAGGCCCCTCCCCTCCCCAAACCCCCAAAGTCCCCAGGTATTTTCCAATCCAATCCGGACCTGACAACCTTACTGCCTCTACAAGTTTGTCCTTTAGGTTATTTGGGTGTGGGGACAGCCAGCCCCGCCGAACCCTAGGGACACAAATCCAAATTGCATACAGAACCTTGGGCTTGAAGGTTGGGGGGGGGGGGAACCAGCTGTGTCCCCTCCCTCAGGCTGGTTCTTGGTGCTTAAATGGGCTCCTCTAGCGCCCTTTGTCAGTCTGGGCCCCCCAACTTCCCTTTTTTTTTTGCAAAATCATAGAATCATAGAGTTCGAAGGGACCTCCGGGGTCATCTAGTCCAACCCCCTGCACAATGCAGGAAATTCACAAAGACCTCACACACACACACACACACACACACACTCCCAGTGACCCCTGCTCCACGCCCAGAAGATGACAAAAAGCTCTCCAGGATCCCCGGCCAAACTGCCTGGAGAAAAACTGCTTCTGGACCCCAAAGTGGCCATCAGCATTTCTCCCCGGGCGTGTAAGAAAGGGCCACGAGAACCGAGCACCGAGGCAACCCTTCCTGCCCTCCCTCTCGTGATCTGCCCGAGTTCACAGAATCAGCCTTGCTGTCCGATGGCCATCGAGCCTCTGCTTGAAAACCTCCCAAGAAGCGCTCTCACTGTCAGGAAGCCCTCAGCCCCAGACAGCAGGTGGAAACGCCTAGATTTCCACATTTCTTCTTGACTATGCAAATGGAAGGGAAGAAGAAGAGGAGAAGAAGAGGTTGGATTTGTACCCCACCCTTCACTCGGAGTCTCAGAGGGGCTTACAATCTCCTTTCCCTCCCCACAACAGACACACTGTGAGGTCCTTTCCCTCCCCCTCCCCACAACAGACACCCTGTGAGGCAGGAGGGGCTGAGAGAGCTCTTTCGAGGACTGCCCTCGAGAGAACAACTCTGAGAGAACTTGTGACTGACCCCAGGTCACCCCAGCAGCTGCATGTGAAGGCGTGGGAAATCAAACCCGGTTCTCCCAAATGAGAGTCCACATACTTAACCACTACACCAAACCGGCTCTCGAAGAAGGGAAGCGAAGGCCGTGCAGCCAAACCGGCTGCTAGCTGAGTGTCCCTGTGAGAAATCTCCACACCTCGGCTTCAAGCGCGTTCCAAAGATATGACCAAAATAGGCAGCCTAATCAGATTGGCATACGAAAGAGCGAGAGTCCAGGAGCACTTTAAAGACTAACAAAGTTTGTGGGGATGAGCTTTGGTGAGTCACAGCTCAAGGCTACCCATCTCGGTCTGTCAGATTAGCATACTTACCCTGACCGGGATATCCCGGGCCGGCCTGATCTCATCAGATCTCTGGCAAGTCCTTGGATGGGAGACCTCCAAGTCGGGAGGCGGGGGCAGGCTTGATTCAGCTGCCTCTCTGAATATCCTCCAGGCCCCCACGGGGGGTCAGTCACCAGAGGTTGCCATGACTTCCAGGTGGACTTCGCTGGATGTTTTCAAGCAGAGGCTGGACGACCATCTTTCGGGTATGTTGTAGGTATGTAGGGCTGTCTTTCGGCTCTGCTCCTGCAGAGTGCAGGGGGTCGGACTAGATGACCTGCAAGGTCCCTTCCAACTCTAACATTCTATGATTCTCTGTGTACACACGCACACCCCATTTCTGCAGTACTGAAATCCCCTGCATTGACGTGTTTAAACTGTGCGTTACGTGAAGTTTTCCGCAGTAGATTTCCCCTCTCTGGGCCCAAACCTGTTCTGCCTACCCCACGTTTTTGGAACTTGCTAAAACATGGGGTAAGAAGGAGGCGACTTTAGGTTTGTGCCCGGTGAGGAAAAATCTACTGCAGAAAATTTCACAGAACGGCAATTTTAAAAATGTCAATGCGGGGAATTTCACTACCGCGGGAATAGTCATAGCCTTAACAGTGTTCCCTCTAAGCTGAGTTAGTGTGGGCTAGCTCACAGTTTTTTAGCCTCCGGCTCACCCGTTTTTGTCTCCGCTCAGGAAGGAGGGCTCCAGGGCAAACTAATTGACGCAGCAGCCAAATTCTCCTTTGTGCTCACAACTTTAATGCCAGTGGCTCACAAAGGAGAATTTTTGCTCACGGGACTCCACAGCTTAGAGGGAGCACTGGGTCACCAGAAGTCGCCATAACTTCCAAGTGCGCACACGCGCACGCGCACACACACACATCAAAAAAGATGCCAAAAAAGATTAGCATACTTACCCTAATGCAGCACAAAAAATCCTGCACCCAAGATTTTACAATTGGGGTCGGGGGTGCCAACCTCCAGGTGCGGCCTGGAGACCTCCTGTGATCTCCAGAGATCAGTTCCCTTGAAGAAAACGGCTGCTTTGGAGGGTGGACTCTATGGCAGGATACCAGACTGAGGCCCCTCCTCTCCCCAAACCCCGCCCTCTCCTGGATCCACCCCCAAAATCTCCTGGTATTTTCCCATCCAGAGCTGGCAACCAGGGGGCGGGTTGCTAAGGGCTGCGAGGCTGGAAGCAAAAAACAGGGCATACAAACGTGACTTCAGGGGGCAGGCAGCGGGGCCCCGCCCAAAGCCTGTGCCCTGAGAGACCCTAGCAGGCCAGGAGGAACAAAGGGATTTGAATGCAAAAGGGGAGAGTCAGCTATGGTTGCAAAATCCAGATTGGGAAATTCTTGGAGATTTAGCCACACGCCTAGGGAGCACGGGGGGGGGGGGGTTTGGGTAGTATTTGGTTCCCTTTTTGTTTCCTTAGTTCCTTCTACCTCGTTCCGCTTTCCCCCTCCTCTGCCATGACCGTCCTCAGCCTCTTCTTCCCTCACTGCCATTTCATCCAATTTGCCGCCAGGACTGATTGGACACATTGGACTGCTAGATGCAGTGTGATGATGTCATCGCCAAAAATCACAAGGCCAATCAGATTCAGGAGCAGTGTGGGCAAAGCGACGGCAAGGAGAGTGAGGGCAGATGAGAAGAAAGAAACCGGTGATGGGGAGATCCGCACTGAAAAACACGAGGACCGGAGGGAAAAGATCACAAAAAGGGAGAACATCTACTTGCCCCCAAAATGAACTCAAAAGGAGGCAATTCCTTTCAGCATCACCCCACTTTGTGAACAAGGCTGCCAGCTCCAAATTGGGAAATTCCCGGAGGCAGGTGGGTGGTGTCTGGGGATGGCAGGGTTTGGGAAGCGGAGGGGCCTCAATGGGGGTGTGATGTCATAGAGCAGGGGTGTCAAACATGTGGCCCGGGGGCCGCATCAGGCCCCTGGAGGGCCGCAGTGGAACTGGCTGTCTCCTGCTTCTTCTTCCAGTTCTGCTGCTGCTTCTGCGTTGT